TATTTTAAATATGATAGTATTATGTTTCAGTCTTAGCATAAATTGGTAACACGAATTTATAATATATTTAAATTTATCCTCCGAAATTTACTAAAAAAAGAGATGATCGTAAGAAGATTAGGAATTGAACCTCTAAAAAAATAGCAAACATGGGAGAATGTTTTATAAATTTCAAATGAAATGAGCCTTTAATTTCATATTTAGCCGCGGCTGAGTATTCTAATCGTGATATCTAAAGTTTGATGTTTTTATTTTTGGAATTCAAGGGAAGGATATATTTTATCCATATATAAAAATAACATATAATATAAAGTATCCATGTTCATCTAGTTTCTAAAATTCTTTTTTTTCTTAAAAAGAAGATTCGATATTTTATTAATTAAGAAAACAAAAGAGATTTTTTTTATTTAATACATCATTAAAATGAAAAAATAAATCTTGTTTATATTATGACGTCTTATCATATCACTTAAAACAATTGTTGAGAATTTTTGTATTGTCTTTGATTAAAAAATTCTTTCCTTATAGATAATTTTACCCGTAAGTCAGTTAATTTTAATTCATTGTTAAACATAAATGTAACTTTTTTTTTTTGATAAACCTGTTATTATTAATATCGTGCCGAAATTTAGAGATTCGCTGATGTTTCTTTGCTTTTTTTTTTCCTTTAGCCTTAAATGAAAAATAAGATTCTGAGTCATTATCTATATACGCGTATACTTGGCAAAAAAAAAAAAAAAAAATTTATTTATAAAGGCAGCATAAGTCAAAAAATTAAAAAATAAAAACCATAATTAAAAAAAAAAATTCTACATAAAATAATACATCTCTCTTATAATAAGAAAATTCTAAGATAGTTACAATCACTTAAGTCAAAAAAAGTTACCCCACTCTATTACGTTTTACTTTTAATAAAAAATGGATATTTTCGAGTTTATTGTTGAAAATATAAACAATCCAACTTGCGAATTTAATCGAAAATTAGCCAGACTCCTTCAAACCTTTACGTTAAATGGTAACTTAAATGTCCCTCAAGCCGGTAACCCAGCAACAAGGTACAATGTCTTGACATATTTCAAAAAACCTTCTAGAATTAAATCTACGCATTTACGAGGTGTCTTACGTGTTATCGTGTCACAAGCAGCACAACAAATCCAAATAAATGACGCATGCGTCATTAGTAGAGCGACAGAAATGTTGAAAAAGGCCATTACTTTCAATGAAAGACAAGGCTATAGAATTTTGGCAAGCCATGTCAATATGAAACCAATATGAACGAAAACGTCTATAAAATTCTTGGTTTTTAACTTTTCTTTTCTTTTTTATTGCGCAAAAATCTGTAATATTTTCGACCGAATATTTGTAATAATGATTCAAATTTGTTTCTCGATGATTTATATATATATATATATATATTATTTATTTTATTTTATTTTATGTTTTTGATTATGATAATAAATTTGGCAAAATTATGAACCTTTTAACTAAATATATATTCTTTTGAATACGTCATTTTTCATGCACGTCAAAAGTATTTAGAAATTAATTAGACTTATATGGAAACTATACATAACCTTAAATAACCTTTTTTCCCGAATTATGAAAGTCACTATTAATTTAGAACAAATTACGATCTTCCTGATTTGATTTGCGATACAGGGCTAATAATTTAATTAGATGGGCGACAGTCAATAAAAAAAGGGCAAATCTAAATTTTGGTAAATTTTTTTTTATTGGTCCACTGACTGATCACATGTCATGTGCTCAAATTAACGGGAATTAAAATTAAAAATTTCAGATTTCTATGCCCTCCAATTTATAGAAATCATATAATTCTTTTTTTTGGGGGGTTAAAACGCGTTAAAATATAAATATTTTGGGGTTGTAAGATTTGCTCGAAAAATTTTGAAATTATGTGCTATGACATGATATGGTCATACATCATCTAATTTTAGCTTAAAATGTGTAGCGTTACATATTGTACCTCAAAAAAGAATTTTTTTTTTTTTGGTAATTTATAATGAAGGTTAAAGGCAGGATTGTGAAATACCTAATTTTTTAAAGTTGTTCTGAATAAGTTTAATAAAAAAGCAATTGTGTATTTAATAAACACATTACGTCATAACGTTAATTTATAGGAAACGGGAACCGTTGTTAAGTCCGGAACACCTTAACTAAAAAAAAATTCTTTTGTGCAACTCAATTATTGAGCGGGACACTTTTGTGTTACATTGCCTGGTCGTATATAGTCCTCGCTTCGCTCCGGACTAATTAACCAAAATAAGAAGCGTCGTACGTCATACATCACACACGGGCCCACACGTCAATAACGTTACTTGATGATTAAAAAAGAAAGAAGTTGTAATTGGTTCTTGTTTATTTGTTAAACAGAGCCAAACTTTAGATTTTCTTCTTGCTCATTACCTAGCCGTAAACAAAATATATATCCGATAAAGGTTACATTCTTCGGAACTTATATCTTTTAAAGTAATTATAAAAAGAAACAACAATAACTGATTAATCCCTATTATGCATTACTTTGTTGATCAGTTACAAGTCCCAAATTAAGATTATTATCATTTTCCAAACCAATTTTTTTAAAATTAAAAGAAACTTGTTAGGTTGTTTTTGAAAATTGTAATCGATTTTTCATTTTTTTTTTTTTTTTTTTTTTTTCATTAATTTCATCAATTTAATAAATGTTGTAAAGTCGAAGTTTGGATTGCAAAAGAATAATTTCTGTGCAAGCTTTCTGAATACAAATCCTTTCAGCCCTAAACAACCAAATGATATCATCATAACATGATTGGTATCGAAACGTGTTCGTATTACAAACATGTCAAAAAAAAAACTTTAATTTATAATTCTTATCATACATATTCAGTATCCTTTCCTTGTATTTCCTTGTTACAAAATTTTATGATAATAATTAGTATTGATTTCATGATCAAATGCATATATATATAAGTTTGGCTGAAATTTTTTTTTTTCATTGATAGATTCTAGAATCTAGACCTTTTCACGTGGATCATCAATTTGCGCACAGACTCATGTATAAATAAAACGGCTCAAGATTTTTTTTTTTTTTTTTTATAAAAAAAAATTTATGAAAATATTAAATTAAGCTTATAAGACTCATTATATTAAGTTGATCAAAAAATCAC